ATCAATGAAAAAAGTTGATATTGATTTGCTTATATTATATTAGCAGAAAATAAAAAATTAATATATACGATTAGCATTTTAGAAAGATTTAACATATTAAAGAATGAGATTTGTTCCTTTAAGATCTTATCATTTATCAGTAGATAATCATATGTGCATAAGTGACTCACTTTTTTTTAAGACTTTGATAGTATTAACTTATATTGCTTGATCTTTTGGCATAGAAGTACCCTCATTAAGTATATATGGATAGTTTTTTTTTTGTGTCGTTGAAATTTTGAAGTACCTTTTGTTAATATAATAGCATGAAATTGTGGTTCCAGCAATTCTGATAAGATATATTGTCTTTTAAATGTACCATTTTTAGTTTAAATCTGATATATTGATCTTTTTTCTTACCATACTACATGACAAGAACATTGTTTGAGTATATGTAATGGAAGCTTATGGTTTGAAAATTTTTAACAATGATGCAGGAGCAGTTTGAATGACACTCTTTTAAAATGGCATGCTAATCTTTTGCATCAGTTTGCATTAGTTTTTAGACAATCTGAGTTATAAAGATAATAGTCATTCATCCAACTTTTCAATAATTATTTTTTTCCTACCGGAATTACCTCAAATATTGAGGCGTGGGTCTCCATGTAATTTACTTGCCTTCTTTAATTTATAATTGCTCATGCATAATCCAGATAATTAAAGTTCGCGCAACAAAACAAGCTTTTAAAAGAAAAAATCTTTTGCATAAAATGTATTAATAATTAATATTAAAACTCATAATTCAATATTAAAAACAAAAAAAGGAAATAAAATTATTTATTATAATATCATATAAAATAAAAATTATTAAACTTCATACAGAATAATACAGTAAAACCTCTATAAATTAATATAGGTGGGATCATGAAATTTTATTATTTTATAGAGATATTATTTAATCGATAAATTAATATTTATTAATTTAAAAAATGCTTTGAGATATAATGAATATTAATTTTGATTATATCAAAATCATTGTATCTTTACTAATTTATGTATCATATTTAATGATTTCACATAAAAAAAATGTTATACATAAAGTACAACGAATACATCAAAATCATTGTATCTTACTAATTTATGAACCATATTTATTGAATTGTCACTATCGTGGAAACAAAAGAGCGTGGATGACAAGTGTGTTTTTTATGAATATATTCGTTGGTTTGACCACAAAATGCATGGTAGACGAGTTTTGCTTATGGTAGATAATTGTCCAGCCCATAATAGAAAAATTAATTGTCCAGCCCATAATAGAAAAATTGAAGGACTACAAAATGTTGAATTGTTTTTCTTGCCGCCCAACATGACATCCAAAATTCAACCTTGTGATGCTGGGATAATAAGAGCTTTCAAGGTGTATTATTGTAACAGATTTTATCGTAGAAAATTAGAAAGCTATGAAGTGGTTGGTCAACAACCAACTAAATCTATACTTCTTCACTACTCGTACAGGGAAGGTGGAAGAAATTCAATCTCTCTTTTTTTGGGGGGGAAAGATTAATGTTTTGGATGCTATCAATTTTACAATCCCTGCTTGGGCAACAAATGTTCAGCAAGAGACAATAGCAAATTATTTTTGACACTGTAAAATTCGTTCGGGGGGATGCAATCTTAGAGAATTTGAATGAACCCACTTGTGAAAATGTCATTCATGACTTGAGGTCATGATTAATGATCTCGGTTACCACAATAAAATGGATGTCAATAACCTGTTGGATTATTCGGGTGAAAGTGATACATGTTCAGAGGTCCAGAGCTTAGAAGAAATTGTGGATATCATCGGAAAAAGCAATGTTGATGATGAAGTTAAAGATGATACTATACCTTTGGAACCAGTTACGAGTAAGGAAGCACTTATCACATCTAGAACACTTCACAATTTTATGGTGCAGTTCGAAAAGACAACACCAGAACTCTTGGATGTCGTAAGAAAAGTTAGAGATGAGCTTCAACTAGATTTAAATTTTAAGAAAAAAACATAACACAATAGAATCATATTTCACTAAATTATCGTAGATATATTTGTATTTTAAAGAATTATTAATTTATGATATAATGGGACCATATATTTATATAGGGGTCTTCTGGAAATATATTATCTTATTATTTTATTGAAATTGTTGATTTTTTTCATTGGCCCAAGTCGGGACCGGAGTAAAATATTATTGTAGAGAGATTATTATACCGAATATTAATTTATAGAGATTTTACTATATATATATATATATATATATATATATATATATATATATATATATAGAGAGAGAGAGAGAGAGAGAGAGAGAGAGAGAGAGAGAGTGTGTGTCACATGTCAGCACCATAAAAATATGATTTTTTAAATAATTAAAATATAATTAATTACATATGATAGGATTAATTAACTCTGTTTAAAATTTACAACTTTTAAATTAACGTGTATTGAATAAAACTTTCAAATATTTTGTGATTCAAACTCCACCATGTTTGAAATTATACAAACAATGTCATCCGTTGCTCTCAATTATAATTATGAGGATCAAATTTAGTTTGCTTTGAAACAACAAAATTAACATGAGAATGTGTGTATTATCTTTAAATTGTTGCATAGAACAAAGTTAAAGTTAAATTAATGTGTTTTTGATATATGTTTTGATATATAAAAGAATGTTTGGGCTCTTTAGCCTAATTTTCTTAGAGATTTATTCAATTAAATAAAGGAGCCTCATGATCCATTATTGACCAAAAATGATAAAATATAAAGCACGATTCAGCATAGGTAACATATTTGGATAGGCGGTAAAATAAAAAATGTTACGACTATCAAAAATGCATTTTTGAATTAATGATTAATTAGTTCTCTCTCTCTCTCTCTCTCTCTATCTATCTATACATATATATACATATATATATATATATATATATATATATATATATATATATATATATATATATATGTTTGCAATTTATTAAAACAAATAATCTACAAATCTTTTTTAAAAATATGTAAAATGTATTGAATTATTAAAATTAATTTAAAGTCCAAAAATAAAATAAAACTGTTAACACTTAATTTTTTTTATTTATAAACGGGTATAAAAAAAATTGTACAAAACAAAATAAAAAATAACGTAACAAATTGTTAAAAGGATAATCAAATTTCCCAATAATTTTTGAAGAATAAAAATTAAACTTTTGAAATTAAGATAAATAATAGTATTTATTTATATTAGGAAGCATTAAATTCTATCATGAACAATATCATAACTATAAGTCATTTTAGCAAATTTAAGATTACTCACAATATTATATAACACACTAATTTAAGTTATAATTTTAAAACATATGATACAATTATCAATTTAAAATTCAAATTTTTTGAATTTCAAGATAACTGTAGTTACACATAATGTGCTTAATCGGATAAAGTTCAAATCAACATAACACCCTTTTCATCCACATTTATATCTTTTCTAATACAATTCAAATCAAATTTAAAATATCTAATCAACACTTTGAGTTAACCTAATATAGAGGATGTATTAATTAAAGATTATTTTTACATTTAAAATCATTTACTATAATTTATTATAATTTACACAAATTGAAAAATAGTAAATGGCTAAATGTATCAATATGTCATTTAATCTTTTGATTTTGAATAAAACATTAGTTAAATATATCAATATATTGAATTTTTTGATTTTCGAATAGAACATTAGTTAAATGTATCAATATGTAATTTAATTTTATGATATTAAATATTTCATGTCGAATGTTAGAATTAATGAATTGTTAAACACAAAAAGAAGAATTTTTTTAATTCCAACTGTATATAAATAATAAAGGACAAACACGTAAAAATTTGAAATATTTGATATTTGATCAAAAGTAAAATAATCTTAGAATTAATAGTATCCCTAGAAAAATTAGTACATAATATATTACTTATAAAACTAAAAGTATAGTTGATATGGCTATATAGAAATGATATTTAAATATTATATTATTTTAAACGTTATTTCAATAGATGTTTTAACTATGTTATGCTTAATTAATAAAAAAAAATTAACTGTATTTATTTTTAGAGATAAGCTGATTTGCAACTATCCTTATTAATCTTAAATACACTCCTTTTTAGAGATAAAGTGATTTATAACTATCCTTATTAATCTCAACATTAAAAGTTTTTCTTTATAAAATGTACATAGAAATTATTTGAAATTAACAAAATATATTAAACTAAAAATACCATTGTGGACAAAATTCTTATAATTTAAAACACAATTAATTTTATGCATCCTTATATAATTTTTAAAACATTGTTCAAAAAAACTAAAACATAATAATAAATAAATAAAACACATATAAATATATACACTCACTAATAATTCATAATTGCCATTTTAAAATTAATTTTTTTTTCATTTTACAATATTCGCGCAACGCACGGATACGTATACTAGTTATTTTAATGGAAAGGGCCTAAAATGCCCTTAAAGTAAGAGATTCGGTACAATATCACCCTCCATTCACCTAATGAATGTGATCCGTTAGACATAAGTGTATTTTTGAGCCGAAAGGTGAACTTCAAGGGTATTTTAGGACCGATAGGTAGATGGAGGGCAATTTTGTACCAGTTCAAATACTTGAGGAGCATTTTAGGCCCTTCTCCATTAAAATAATTACATATTGTCTCACTAATTAATAACTCATATCAAAATTCAAGTTAAAATACACCTAGATACATATATATTTGTTACTAGATACACTAAAATATGAAAAGAGTCGAACAAGAAAAGGAGAGAGGCGGGTGAGAGTATATGTATTCCTAAATATATGTGAATCACACTAAATACATATATCCGAAATACCAAATATATTCTGAAACAATGATTACTATGGTATATTCAGAATACCAGATATATTCTGAAATACAAATACATAGGGAAATAGGCGAGCAGAGGAGAGAGCAAGTGAGATAGGAGAAGCGAGTCAAAGAGTTAAATACATGCAATTGCAAATCTATTTGGATACAATATATGTAAAACAATGATTACTATGGTAGTCTAGCAATCTACTTGCAATTGCAGAAGATACCCATTATAAAATTTAAACTGTACATGAAAGAACCATGAAGTAAAACTCCTTTGTGCGTGCTGTCCAAATTCTCATCCTATTGAATAAAAACAGAACAGGTGACAATATGATTAGCAGCCCTGCACCTTCGCGTTTCTTCATTTGCCAAGAGTTTTTCTGCAAGCGTGAAACATGTTTGAGAGGCTTCCATGCTCATGTTCTTACACATTCAACAAAGATCAAGTCAACAACAGGGACCATCTGAAGAAATAACTGCCGCAACCACAAAAGACCTGTGGCATTGGCAAACAATTGACCAGAAGAATGCATGTGCAGACTCTTCCAGAGTATTTAGTGCGGGACCAAGAACCATGTCTTACCCCTCAGCCATTGTAGCAGAAGGGAAAAATCTCATGATGAAGCTAGAAAGGGACCAAATACAAATTACCCCAAGAAATTGAAGGACATTTAGAAGTGCGCTCAATGAGCCATTTATTGCCAAGTTCTGTGCAGTCATCTCAGCTCCTCTTACAGTCAAAGAAAGGGCTGTTACTAGTTGTGCAGCCCTATTCAGCTGATGCAGCCTGTAAACCTGTAAAATTGTGACAAATAACCTCATCAACTACCATAAAACTCCCTTGGGACATGTATAATTTTTTAGACAAATTGCTTTTGAGGATCTTTACTTTGGGAAGTGTTAACTTATTCAATCAGCAAGGGGGAGCATAAATTTCTTTCAAGACAAGTGGGAAGCAGTGTAAAGTTGCACAATCATCTTACTGAATATTTGGATAAACTATTCATGCTTTTGGAGAGATATAATATGAAGTTATTTGGCAAATAAAACAGACGTTATCAGAAACAGTCTAAGCAGAAAAACTACAAACTACAAGTCTGATGTCCAGTGATACTAGTATGACATTATAGTAAAAGATAAAATAAGACATCCAACAACAAACTTGAAAATTCTTGTGTTGGTGTAGTCTATCTTAATTGGGGAGTCTACTTAATTGGTCTTTCCATTAGAACAATGAAAGTTTACATGGATAATAAAAGCATGACATAGTTTAACAAGTCAACTTAGTAAAGTTTGAGAAATGAAAACTGTCATTCACGGATCTGGTAGTGTTATTATAGGAACTGAAAAAAGAAAGTTTATCTATGTCATTTGAAATATTTGGAAGGGTTTAAACATCCAGACTGTAGAAAATTAAGTTAGAAGAGCTGCAAAAAGTTTTAGTTGAACACAAGGGAGTGTGTTGGGGGAGGGTGGCCCTATTCCTGATAACATTTAAAGTTAAACGTCATGGGGCCACAATACAACAAAAATCACAGTGGCCAGTGTTCAGTGTTCCCTCTCTACAAAAACATTCCAAGTAAAATTACTAAGTCAATCTAGTCCTTACCTGAAAAACAATTGGGATAACAGACCATGAAGGCGAGTCAATATATCTTGCGTACTGTTCAAAAGCAAATTGCACAACAATACCAACAAGATAAGGGGCAAGAGTAGCAGAAGCTGCAGGACCAGTCCATGGCCAGACAAGCCCCATGGTCACCATTGGAATTATTAGACTAAGTGCTAGTACAGAAATTGAAGATATTCTATATACGAGTGGTGGCATAGTTTTCCTGTCAGAAGATATTAGCTCAAGCGGTCTCCTTAAACGATCTATTAGGAGAAGAAACACTGCTGCTCCACAGTAAAAGAGAGCCTCTGTGAAGAACAAGATGAGGAAATCTGCAGGTTAAGAGCACAGTTTATTTAGCAAAACTGCGATGAAACGACTGCTTGTTTATAACTTAAAGAAGGAAATCATTAGCATGAACATCGAATAACAACAATCAAACATGATCGACATTTCAGCCACATAACAGGCACCTGATATTGACACAGATAGTATGTGGGTCGCTATAACTTACAAGGGTCTTCTCTCTCTTGGTTTATTTATGTAAAGAAATAGATCGTGGGTCAAACTCAACCCCAAAGGCCAGCTCAAAGGGAGGAGGATTGTCCAAGCATATAAGGAGAACAATTACCCATCCCATATACGATGTGGTACTCTAACCACTTCCCGCACACACATACCTCATTAACCAGGGCATGGGCAGCATAATATGGGGGCCCAACATTTGTGAACAAAGAATTGAGAAGGACCATGTAAAGAAATAAATCTTGGGTCTAACTCAACTCCAAAAGCTAGCTCAAAGGGAGGAGTTGTCCAAGTCATATAAGGAGACTAATTACCCATCCCATATCCGATGTGGGATTCTTTAATAGTTTTGCGTACAAATCATTGAGTCAGTGGACACAAGATATCGTACTGCCACAATTTTGGATGAGTGCTTATTTATTTGTTATAGAAATATGATGATGCGATCAGAAACATCATCATAGCTTCTTTTGTTCTTTTTTCTTGGGGGGGGGGGGGTTGTTTTTTCTTTGGGGAGCTAAAGCAGGTTGGTAGATAAACTAAATGAAACAAATATGAATATGTCAGAAACATGTTATAACATAAGCCTTGCCTACCAGTTAACAAAGAGTCCTCAAATATAGTTGATAATATCCTGCGCAAATAAAGCGAGGGAAAGATGAAAGAGGCTACAAGGACAGCTGGACCGACAAACCATAGTAGAATGTTCTCGTTCTTTGCAGCAGTGGACACAAGGATTTTCTCCTCCCTTCTGTAAGGACGATTGTAGAATGATAGTACCCCAGGCTTACCACCAGCACCTTCAAGTTGGGCATTTGAACTACTGACAGAGGCAATGTATTCAACACTAGGATGTTCACTTTCTTGCACAGAAACATCTTCCTCAAGCTCACTGTTGGGCAACTGGTCCTCTGCAGTGGCAAAGAAACTGAATTGCCTCCTACTAGAACTTCTCAGCACCTTTAGCTTTTCAAGCTTGAAATGATGTGACCTAACAACTTGTGATGGCAGAAGACAGCCAAGGCAAGGGATAAAAAGAAAAGAAAAAAGAGGAGAACAAAGTTACAGCAAGTCATCCAACAGAGGTTAAGCACTCACTTTGAGGAACTTGCTATTACTAAGGCGACAAGAAGTGACTTAAAAGTATCGAATAACAATTTTCTTCCATTAGAAGTGAACCAAATACTAACATTTGCAACATTTGCTTTGCCAACCCTTACTGGAATAAGAGATACAAGGGAAGACATGCAACTTAAACTTTTTCCCGTTCTGAATAAAGGAAATGCAACTTAAAACTTATATCAGTTAATAGAGAAAACAATTGCTCAATTGCATCATAAACAAGAATTTTAATTTTGAAAGGAACTTCCCAATTTGACTACCTTTATCATTTCTTAGACTTTCCACGGCAAACCTCTGCATGCAGAATACTCTTGGTCCTGCACTCACCTGGATGGTAAAGCATGGAATCAAACAAGCACTCTATAAAAGATTGCATAGATCACCGCACGACGGTACTAGAGAAAAAAGATCAAGAAAATACATTTAACTCAAGTATACCAAAAGGAAAAGAAGAATCATCTAATCATTTGACTGAGAATAATTCAGCTCAGTACTTCCAGTATATGGACACGCATAAGACTCAAGGTATAAACTGCAGTTGCATGCCAAAAGACTGTGTACCATCACAAACCAATGAATATCAGGTCACAACGAAGCCACAGTTCAAGTCAAGAGACATGCTACTAAGCTTATAGGTAACTTAGGACGAATAATTCCATTCCTTATTCAAGAGGGAAGAAGAGACTGTTCCATGTAATATACTAGCTTTTGGGCACGCTAGTTACACGTATACCCTTATCAATAAGGATAAATTTTTGAAAAGAAGATAAATTTGGTTTAACTTGTTGTTTCTTTCCTGTTTTGTGTCACCAAGTATGATATTTTCATATTTGTGGTGATGTAAACTGAAAAGTAAGTTTGTTTTAAGTATAATACAAAGATATTCCTCTCAACATGTTTCAACTTTTCAACTACACACTTGACTTGTACCAAACAAAAAAAGAGCTCAAAATAAACACTTCTTGCAAAAAATCCAAACAAACAATTCTTGTCAAAAAGAAAAAACTGATAATCAAACCTGCCTCTAGTGTAAGGTCATCTTCTTTTGCCTTTTCATTTTTTCATCACCTCAACCCATTGACTCTTCCTCAATCTTTTCGCCTATCCAATTGTATAGCGTGATTGCAATATTTCAGCACAACCATTTCCTTAACTCATTTTTTCGAAAAATCTTTTTTCTCTAAGATCCCTAATATTATGTTTAGGCCTCATCTTTCAATGCTTGTCGCAGAAAGGATAATTAAGAGTCGTTGGATAGTTCAAAGACATAAATGACTCCAAATAGAATTTAGTATTTATGGGATTTAACCCATAATAACCAAAATTCTCGTATTCAGGTCCTCTAGAACAAACTAGAAGTTTCATGGGATTAAACAACCATAAAAAGAACACACCAAGTAAAATCTCATAATTGGAGTCTGAGGAGGATAGAATATGGACAGAATTACCACTTGTTTTCCAAAGACCTTCAGCTCAAGTGTAATAAATCCAGGTAGAAAGAAGAAGACAGCAAGGAGAATAATAGCAAGTAACAAGGTAACAGTGAAAAGTCTACCGGAAAGCTACTGAAAACAACAATAAAATAATGTGATAATTGAAACACAGTAAATAACATGCTAGGATAGATTATTCAGGATTGTTGATTTGAAATAATAGTTTGGGCGGAGTCTCCAGCTGCAATAAAGGTAGAAGACGGAAAACTTGAAGTTCTCTCGATCTGACCGATTTAGCTCAGGATGAGTAGAAGGTTATAAACTTACCTTGGAGAAGATCTGGTAGCAGCTGAAATGGAGGAGATGCGACATTGGAAAGCTTATTTTGATTTCTCCGGCAGCTGATGATCGGAGCTCATCAATGGGGGCTTATATATAATTATATATATATATATAAATGGGCCCAAATGAGGTAGGTAATTAATGGTGTTAAATTTTTCAATAATATAAATTTTAAAGGTACAACATAAAAGAAGAATGTACAACACTATCTAAGCATATATCATCCAACACTTGTCATGTGCTAAGTAGTAGATATTTCCACTTAGTATATATAGTTATATATATATATATATATATATAAATGGGCCCAAATGAGGTATGTAATTAATGATGTTAAATTGTCCAATAATATAAATTTAAAGGTACAACCATAAAAAAAGAATGTACAACACTATCTAAACACATATCATCCAACAATTTAATATCATTAATTACCTACTACTTTATTAGCCAAAAGTTAGACCTCATTTGGGCCCATTTATTATTTATATGTTTTCAATTTTTAATATATGTTGTTTATCTTATTCTTTTTTTCAACTTTTTATTTTAAACTTCTTGAAATTTAATTACCTATTTATTACTCTCTCTATACACTTTTAATTATTATGATTTCCTTTTTAGAATCAAATTATAAGAATTTTAACTAATATTTTACAATGTGTTTTTTCATCATATTCATATGTAAAAAATTACAATTTATAGTACTTTTTGTATAGATTTTGCATATTTAATTTTTTTGTTTAAAATATCAAATTAATACAATCTAATTTAACTTTGAAAATTATTATATTACTACTATTAATAAGAGTAAATGTGAGGAGCTTCCCATTTATGAGAATTGACAATAAAATCCTCAGATGTTACTTTTGTAATTTCACATGAAAAATGTAATTTAATTGATAGTTAAAGGAGTAGTGCAACTGCATTTCATTTATTTTATCTATTGGGCTAATTTGTCCCCTTAAAACTACAAATAATTCGCACAACTTTCTGAAAACATGGGCCCCACTTATTACTACTTAGTTGTATTGCTTTGGTGGTCTATTTTATAGTAGTACAAATATTTTTAAAGTTCATGTATTTGAAAATTAAACTTTTGAGATGTCATATAATATAAATATTTTTAAAGTTACTCTCTCTGTCTCAATTTATGTGATACATTTCGAATTTTGAGATTTAAACAAGTTTAACTTTGATCATAAATTTTTTATATATCTTTTAAATATTTTGAATTATCAATTATTGAGACTTATAGTATTTTTAATGTAATTTACAAATATATATATACTTCATTTTTAAAAAATAAAGATTTCATGAGCAAATTCTTGGTCAAACTTAAACTGTTTGATTCTCGAAATGTGTCACATAAATTGAGACAGAGGAAGTAAGTAATTGATTTAAAATTTGAGATGTTTTATATGAATACGTGAAGAAAATAATTACATTTTACTTTTTTAGAATTATTTTTCTGTACTTTTATTTATTATTTTTATAAGGTGAATAATAGATGACGTTCTTGTTGTTAGTTCTGATTTTTTACTTCCCAATTGAATGAGTACATAAATGAAAGATAGTCATCTATCTTTCTATAGTTAACTAGAAATGATTTTATTCCACTAAAAAACTAAAAATGTTCTTTTTGTTGATATTCATATTGGCCTTCTCGATTGAATATATACATAAATCAAAAATAGTAATCTGACTTTCCATAGTTAACTGTTTTTTTTTCTTTCTTTTTTTTCCACTAGAAAATTAAACATTAAACATAAAAATATATTTAATTTATGAAATCATACATATATCATGTTTACCTTACACCAAACAACGATATTTTCATATCCATGTTAATTTGATGATACTTTCGTGCCATATACAATACTTTAATATATATATATATATATATATATATATATATCATTAGTTTCTTGTTGTTTGTTTAAACAGGGTTGCGGATAATTACCTGTAGTATTGCTACCAAGGTCACTTTCTCTATATACCATATAGGTTTTACTAGATTAAAATCTAGTTCCATTTTTGTATTAGCTACTTGGCTTTAATTTTTTTTTTTATTCACGAAGACTAATAATTCATAAACATTATCAACAATCAACGATGAAAAGTCACTATATAATTTTTAGAAATATTTGTGATGAAAAATTAAATAGTAAATTTGTTTGGTAAAATTTGAATACCAACCAAAAGTATGGTAAGAGAACTACTTGCACTTGTTCATGTTTCAACTCCTCTGGAAAATCAATAAAGAGATAATTTGCTATGAAACCTGATACCATTAGTTTCTTGTTGTTTGTTTAAACAGGGTTGTGGATAAATATGCGGTTATGCAGTGAAGACTCTACAATTTTTTAAAATCGATAGAGCATTTTTATATTCAAAATATTCTTGTATTCTATACATTTTCATTTCATGTATTGAAAATATTATTGCATCATAGGTATGACTAGTATGCAAATATACTTGTTCCATCTCTGAAATTGCTTTATCCATATGAAATAAAGTTTTTTTATGCTTCTAAGCTCTTTTTCTTATGCTATGCACAAATTTTTGTAAAAATTTCATTTTTATGTTAATAGCATGATATAAAATATGAATTTATAAAAATATTTTTTATGCTGATAGCATGATAATCACAATGTTGTATAAACATGAGACAATTTTATATTTTTATTCCCTATAGGTACTAAGTATTTCTTTCTATGTTTTAAGTAAGCATATAACAATGATATAGTATGCTTGTAAAATTAATAACATGCAATAAAAAGTGTGCGTGTATACCTTTCTTCTTTTTTGTCGATGAATAGTCCTTATCACTATCGCAATAGTTCTCCCTTTAGGCCATGAACAGTGTTTCACCCTAACGACCTCAGTCTTGGCTACTTAGTTACTGTTCCTCCCTAAGGCTGAAGATCACAACCTTCACTTAAGACTATTAATGGAGTTTTAAGAAGAGAAGTATAAAAACCAATTTTTTATTTCATATTATAATTTTTACAATCACACCATACATATTATATATCTATACTCACAACATATTTAGAAAATACTTTTTCCTGGCGGGAGAAGTTACTACTCACTCATACTCTTAGAAGTACCTAACATTTTTTTTTCAAGTGTTTTTCTCTCAGAAAATGTAGTTTCCCTCTCAAGTATGAAGTTCCACTCCTTTTATAGATGGAAGAAGGGACTTGTTACAAAATATATGTTTTCAGGGGACTTCCCTAAACTTCTACATATTTTGTCTTTGGTCCTTCACTGATTGAAGATTCCTTGTTGATAAGATGAGGACTTGTCTGTCTTCTTTTGTTGATGACCGGCATGATTTGACCCTTCTTTTTGACTTTGAGAAAAAGGAAAGATTCCTTTCTTTGTTGATATCTCCATGACGTAATTGCTTACGTCTTTATTTTTGTCTTCTTTCATATGCTACATTATGCATGGTCATGATCTAGCATTTTACATGCTAGTTTCCATGTTTCTTCTGTTGCTCCTAACCTATGGAGCTCTATGTCAAGAATTCTTTCTTTTAGTTCCTTT